CGGGAAGTGCCTCGCGAGACAATGTTGACTGCCACCCGAAACGAACGAATCGACAATTACAGACAGACAGACAATCCGCAGCTAACGGGAAAGATACCCACCGAATGCCACAACGTCGGAGCTGTCGATCAACGCATCTCGCGCCGCGCTCGGGTCAAACCAGTCGGAATGGCACGCGGAAGAGACAACGTACGTGCCAAGTGCGGACCAAGACCAACAAGGAATGACCCACAGAAAGAGACATGAATCATCCCGCCGCGGGGTTGAGAATTAACTGTATATAATCGAACGCATACACTGTTTGTTTTTGAATTGGATCAATAGACGTTTTCCCAGCCAGTTCGCCTTCTTGTTACATCATGACACCGCAAAGAACTAACAAACAACCGGTAGCTAATGGACATGGAAAAGAGTGCTGTACGATGGTGAGAGGAAGAAGGAATGTGTTCCTAATAACAACCGTACTCGGTGATCATTGGCTGCAACAAGAAAACGCTGTCCGTCATTGAATAAGATCTGTTCGGTAATCCAAAATAATCGTCCAGATACGAATAGAGCCATGATGAGTAAGATCAACATACCTAAGCCCTATTGTGTATGTGTGGGATAATGGGAAGGCTCAGTGTTCCCTAGTCGAAACGTACTAAGAAGTACTTTGAGCAAAGCGTGGAATGAGATACCAGTCACGTTGAGTGGCTGAGTGGTTGAAAATATCGCAGGGCGAATCGAAATAATACCAGTAAACGGTGAAAATGCTGAGTTTTCTTGAGACCGTATGGTACTAACAGATCAAAGATTGTCCAAGCAACATGCAGCATTTGGGGGCTACAAAGCCTATCTATTGGTCCTATGATTACACACTAAAACTGGCCAATACGATATAATACATATCAAACCCCTAAGGTATATATGTATATATATAGTCAGATTTTAAAGAGCTCACACGGTGTATAACCACTGCGGATATATTAATTAGCTTGAAACAATATGATGAAAAAACTAGCATCTTCGGTCGGGCCTTTTGGAAGATAACTATGTTGGGTCTTAGAAGATATTGATGTATCCGTATATAATAAACCGCATAAGCCGTTCAAGTTGGTATGATATTTCGTTATTGCTCGATCTAATAGCTATTCTCCTGTACCAAAGCAGCACGTGGATCACTGCTCAATCTGATATGGCCAGAATTATATGCCATTCTTTCTCTGTCTGAATACACGATCAAAATTTAAACGCAAGCATGCAGACGGAGTAGACGGACTGATATTTCAGCACTGCTTGTCAAACGGTCTTGCACATTCAACGGACAGAAACAGAAAGACGGTAAATCACTAACGGTTGACGTGGAATCAACCGGTGAGGCCAACCCGTCAAAGACTAGGCAAATAAGCACCACACTGATTAAATTAGACTGTATCGGTGGTTCGCTACGCAATAATATGACCAATAAGACATGTGTCTATCGATCGGTGAGTGTTCGAGTTTATCATCGAATGCCTATCTTGTTTTGCGATCAAGTCTTGGTTGTCTGCTTGTATGACGCACACACACACACACACACACACAAGACCTAGTGGTTTGACAACTTAATCGATGGCAAATGGCCTTGTGAGACGCACTTGTGCTTGATCGTGTCTAACAACCTAACAATGTCTAACGCTGAGTAGGGTCGATACGTGTAGTCCGATCTTGAGCTTTTTTATTTATCCAGACCACTCTTGGAGTGGTCGGCCCCTCTTAAAAAAATGAATCGGATATTCGCACACTTGTAAGAAGACGCAAAAAGATTATTGTGAACATTAATGCATGAGTATTTTGACTATATATGTATATTATTATACATATTAATATGATTGGCACTACTATTAAAATCAGTTTACTTTCAATTTTACGTCCTTTTATTGAATACACAGTTGTTGTGTCCAAAATTTATTCGGCAAATGAGAACACAACGAATGAAGCAGTAAGTGTATTGTAAACAGCAAATATGTAGCCGGTGCACAAGCCGGAGAACAAGTGGGAAAGATCGACGCGTAGGAAGGCAGGCAGGCCGGCCGACTCCGGCTCACGCGTCGCACTACACCCGAATACCGTCAAGCCAGTATTCAAACAGTCAGTTCATCGAACAATCAATCAATCTGGTCACAGCCATGTATGGCAAGCAAATCAGTCATTTGTAGGCCACAACAACAGTGATACAATTTTCAGGAAGGAGGAAGCGGCCAATCAAAGGCAGGCCATGGGGAAAGTCAGGCGGTGATTTTTGGGTTTGAACACACGCCCTCCGAGGTGGTAATTTAGTGATGTTACCATCGGGTCATCACCGCCCGAATTCCATGAACAACCTTTTGTAGGCAAACTGGTGATAAGTATCGTGACAGGAAGATCGGTTGACGAAGTGATATCTGAACAATTGGGTGCACTTCATCTGACAACTTATAGCAGAAACAAAACATGCACTACGATATGCGAACTTTCCATCAATTCCACAATCAGTACAACACACAACAAACCCTTACTCATACTCCGCAATCAGTCTTTCAGCACTTTGACCGATTGCCGCAAAAACTTCTGTATCCAAAAAAAAACCCAGCATGACTAAACGTGTTTTGCGAAATGAAAGGATTCGGGTAACTTAACAGCTAGAAAGACAAAAACTCGGTCAAAAACGTGCCCAGCATTGACCATAATCTGAAACTTCCAGCTTTTAGTGAAATAATGCCAACCAAATCAGCAAATCGGACGCAATCGGTTAAATGCCTTGTGAAATCAACTTTTCAGCAACTCACTCATTTTTAGTATTTTAAGAAGACTGGATTAATCTGAACTGACCATCATTTAGATTCTATCTTCACGCACTATTCTCAGTTTGTCCAGTCAACTGTACATCCGGAAGCACTACAGCCAAGATCCCGTTCAAGCTTTTAACTCCGGACACATCGCGTGGAAGGCGGGTGTGCTACCAATACCAACGAGCTCACACCGGGACAAGCCAGAATTACTAATCCATACTTGTTCGGCTGTCGTCTTCCGGGACGGTCAATTATGTTAGCCCGACAGCAAAGAAAGCAGACACAGTTTACTATCTGTGAACTCTAGTTCTAATCTTCCCATCAATCCAGGTCTGCCTTACAACTTTGGGTTTACTGTCCCCATGACCACTGACCATATCCTGCGTTTACTCATACATGTTCAACTTCACCGAGAATCAAAAGTGGGACTTGGTGTTTGAAATTACCAGTATCGATTGACAATAAACCATAGTTCTAAAAACGGCACTGATGGAACCAGGGAACAGAACGATACTGGAGAACCTAAACCTGAATAGCATATTGAAATTTCAAATATTCGGAAAAACAACGCCATATATAATGCATCACTCACCTCAGGCATAAACAAGGTTTTCTGTAGACCGTTCACCCCGAGCCGGTCAATAATAATCTCCTTGACAGCAAACTCTAACTTCTCCTAAAAACCAATGAGGAACAGAAACAGATTGATTTAAAAATGAGAGCGATATGAGCAAGCCGAAATTACACTCATAGGTTATCAACAAGGCGTGACTGATAATCCGCGCTCTGCGAGGGTATGAAATGACTTATCTTTGTGTTCTATAGAACTTTCTTGTGCTTAGTTGTGTGAAAAACTCACCTTAATCCATCAACAAGAAATAGCGAAACGTACAAGGAAAAATGGGTTAGTGTTTAAATATAATTTTACACATGCTGGATATATTTATCAACAGTTCGATGTTTGTAAACATAAAATCCAGTGATATTCAGTTACATTGTTAATCATGTGCTGGGCAAATACTGAACAAATACTCCCAGTTGATGCTAGTCCTCCATCTGAAATGAAGGTTTCTCGGGAAATAAG